CCGGTGACCACCATTCCTGAGGCAGGGCCTCAACTCTGAACCGACGACCGCCATTGCTGAGGTAGGGCCATAACTCTGAAGGGCTCAAGATTCTGAGTTTAATCTCCCTATTCTTCCTTTTCCTGGATTTAAGGGCCACGCAGAAGTAGACCCTCTTAGCTGGCGTAGTCCCTCAACAAGGGTATGTCTAGACTGCATCCCTCTGTCGGCAGAGGGATCAGATTAGTCAGGTCGACATTGCAAATGAGACAGGGATTTAAATATCCCGTGCCTAATTTTCATAAAAATGGGCACTGTGTTTTGCCAACTCAGCACTTTGTCGGCAAAAAGTGGCAGTCTAGAGGGGGATCTGTCGACAAAGAAAGCCTTTTTTGACAGATCCCTTATGCCTCCTACAAGGAAGTTTACAGGATCTGTCGAAAAAGGCTTGTTCATCTGAGACCTCTTACAATGATGGTGTCTCTCCTGGAAACACTGCTGTCATATTTTACAAGTTCCTACATTTAAGGGTAGCATGATTTGTGACCCCCACAACAGCCCAAATTAGTTACAATATATCACATTCCATTCTAACAACAGATCCTCCATCAGCCTTGGCTGAACTGGTTTTACATAACCACACCCTGGATTCCTTCCCCAAATCAGCATGAGCTGTATTTACATATCAACAGTTAATTATCTTGCAGAGCTAAACAACTTCAGCTGGCTGCATTGCATGCAGTCCTTCAGACCCCTGGCTTACACTAATAATTACCCATAGTAACTAAAACTAAACAAACTACTACCACAGGACAAACAGAATACAAGATAGTCCAGGCACTCTCAAAGCAGGCAGTCCCCGAGTTACGCGGATCCGACTTATGTCGGATCCGCAGTTACGAACGGGGCCCTCCCTCTCCCTGGTCTCCAGCAGACCAGGGAGAGGAAGCAAAGCGGCGGAACACGCGGGCAGCGGACAGCCCAGATGCGTCTGGGCTGTCCGCTGCCCGCGTGTTCCGTCGCTTTGTTCCCCGTCCCCCTGGTCTGTAGACCAGGGGGACGGGGAACAAAGCGACGGAACACGCGGGCAGCGGACAGCCCAGATGCGTCTGGGCTGTCCGCTGCCCGCGTGTTCCGTCGCTTTGTTCCCCGTCCCCCTGGTCTGTAGACCAGGGGGACGGGGAACAAAGCGACGGAACACGCGGGCAGCGGACAGCCCAGATGCGTCTGGGCTGTCCGCTGCCCGCGTGTTCCGTCGCTTTGTTCCCCGTCCCCCTGGTCTGTAGACCAGGGGGACGGGGAACAAAGCGACGGAACACGCGGGCAGCGGACAGCCCAGATGCGTCTGGGCTGTCCGCTGCCCGCGTGTTCCGTCGCTTTGTTCCCCGTCCCCCTGGTCTGTAGACCAGGGGGACGGGGAACAAAGCGACGGAACACGCGGGCAGCGGACAGCCCAGATGCGTCTGGGCTGTCCGCTGCCCGCGTGTTCCGCCGCTTTGCTTCCTCTCCCTGGTCTGCTGGAGACCAGGGAGAGGGAGGGCCCCGTTCGTAACTGCGGATCCGACATAAGTCGGATCCGCGTAACTCGGGGACTGCCTGTAATACTCCACCTCAAACTTAGGCAGTTCAGAATGTCTATTATCGTTCACTGTGAGGAGGTATAGGGAGCACGTGTGGCTGACAATGCACTGCTAAAGGAAAATCTTGTATCAAAGGCTCAAGAGGGTCAGACACACTTGAGGTGGACTGCCCACAGAAACACCACTCAAAGAGAATGATTATTGCGTCTATTAGTACAACTCGTCTTTTGTAAAGAAACCCAAGTTCTAAGAGAATTGAGTCTTCTATTATAAGCAAAGCTCTTTTACATTGTCGTGTACACAGATAGATTATTATTCATATGGAACCTGCTGAAGTAGGGCCCCGTTGGGCTATGCACTGTATAACTGTAAGAGACAGTGACTTTACTGAAGACCGTAGAATCTAAACAGACGAGACAGACAGAGGTGGGAGAAAAGATGTATTATACCCATATTACAGATGTGGAACCAAAGCACAAAGCATTTAAGGCCCTGTCTAGACCAGGAAACTATTTAATAAATTAGTAAATTTGACTTAACTCCTGATTTAACAAAATCGAACTAGCACATGCACTCTATGGGGAAGTCTCAAAATTAGCCCAAGACAGGTTCCATTAATGTAGACATGCTACCTCCAACTTGGAGCCCCAGGAAACACTGGGAAGTAATTACATTGAATTACTCTGGGGAGTAATTATTTTGAAATAGCAGCACTTGCATGTCCACACTACTGCTATGTCAAAATAGCTATTTCGGAATTAGCGATACTCCCAATGAAAAGCAGGAGTACAGATTTTGAATTACACAGCCTGTTATTTTGCAATAATGGGCTTGGCAGTGTGGACATGCCACTTATAAATTCAACCTAACGGGGGTATTTTGAAATAAAGTCCTAGTGTAGACCAAGGCCCAAAGACTAGCTCATGGTTCAACAGGAAGTTTCTGGACAATCAGGGAATTGAACCAATATCTTTTAATTCCCCACTGTGTAACCCTGCTACTGGAATGTCTTTGCTTTCAACCTTGTAGAGGAATAAATCCATAAGGGTTCATGCAAATAAAAAACAAAACTAATGAATGTCTCCATTTTAATTGTGACATCCTGTACAAGAACTTTCTATTTTCTTCTTGATAAATTCACATCTAATGTGTAGAAACCCAACACTGGAAAAAAAAAAAAGACCACGAGTAAATGTATTCTGTTTCATTATATTTATTTCATCCACTAACAGCAGGTGCATTTTGTAACAGCATTTCTTTTACTCTTTATATAGCATTTAGCCTGAGTAAATTCATACTGCAAGTGAATAATGATGTCCCTTATTCATTTTAAATTTCAATAATTGAATTAGAAACAAGGAAGCCTATTGAAAGGACTGTCTGCTGGTCAAAGACTAATGAGAATTTTTTTAAAAAAAATCTGAGTCATTGGTATCACAGTAACAATGCATTATTGAAATCTGATTAGTATGCCCAGCAGCCTTATAAACGATAGCACACTCCTCTAATTGTGTTTTCTGTTCTCAGAGAGAAGTTTTATGCTCATAGGAGGTGAGAGGATGGCAGGATTCTGTTTATGTATATGTTTGATATGGAATATACTGTATGCTCACATTTTCAATATAACCTCAGCTGCCATTCATTGAAGAAAAAAAGTCTTCTATGGTATTAAGGGAAATGAAAAAACCAATTTCCCCCTCTTCCTCTCTCACTCCACATTTTATTACCTCTCCCTCATATTTTTTAATTCATTCAAATAGAGTGATGACCCTTTGATACACAGTACTCTGTGTATCAGGAGAGTATTCTGAAGCAAAAGCACCCTATTTAAGGTCCAAACCTACATAACTTGTGCACCTGAGTCTAGGTTCTAGTGCAAGGGGTACATAAGGAAATGCAGGATCTACAGTAAAGCTTGAGCTATCTGGCACTTACCTATCTGGAAAACTTTAGAAACTGGCAAATTTCCTAGGGGCTTGGCGCAGCTGGCCGGGAGCTGGGCCAGGCACCTGAAGGGCCCTGCAGTGCAGGGGTGGCAGCTCCAGAAAAGGACCCTCAGATAACCGGAATTTTTAGATAACCAGAACGCCCTAATCCCCAAGCGTGCTGGATAACACAGGTTTTACTGTAGTATGAAACTTTCCATCTTACTCAGTATCCCATTTCAGGAAAGCACATATGCATTTGTGTAAGTCTAAGAATGTCTCTAGACTACAGGGTTTTTTCGAAAAAATTGGCCTTTTTCCGAAAAAACTTCCCCTGTGTCTAGACTGCTGCCGCTTTCTTTCGAAAATAAATCGAAAGAACGCAGCAGTTATTTTGACCAAAGAAAACCTCATTTTACGAGGAATAACGCCTTTTTCGGAAGTGCTCTTTCGAAAAAAGGTGCTATATAATGCAAACTGCTTTTTGGAAAAGAGAGCATCCAGACTGCCTGGGTGCTCTCTTTCGAAAATGCGGCTTGCTTTTTTAAATAGTACTGGCTATAGTCTAGATGCTCTCTTTCGAAAGAGGCTTGTAGTCTAGACGTACCCTTAGTGAAGAAAATAGTACAAGCTAAAAAATAATCATGTGCTTAAAGTTCCCTCCCAAATAGGGATATATTCCCACATGGAGGCTTAAAATAGTACTTAAAAAAAAAAGTAAACATATGAAAAGCCAACAGAAGCTGTGATTAGAGGTTTTTTTTAACATTTCTGAAGAACATAGATTAATGCCTCAGTGAAAAATATACAAATTTAATAAGGCTTTCAGTTGTGCTGCAGAGTCAAACAGATTTTCACTCTGTAGTAGACTTCTTTTAACAACTGCAGGTCGTGGTTTACACCAGAAATCTGATGCAAAACTGTTTTACTACATACATATACAATCTCAAGAGATGAACAGCTAACTTTTCCAGATTACAATTAATTTTTTTTCTTACATAATAACCTTTAATAGTTCATTCTTTTTGGTATATTTCAATAGCTTATGACAGTTTCCTGTTCAGACTATTATTTTATTTTTGAGAAATCATTTGACTTTCTATTAAGGTGGTGGCAGCAGTAAGCCAACACACTTATTCCTTAGGGAAATTTGTATGTTTTAAATACAATCCAGGAAAATGATTAATCCAAATGATGCAAAAACAGGAAATGTTTGTCATGGTGCAAGGACACACAGAAAATGACACAACTAGATCTAGAACCACAGTACTATTTGCTCAATGCGCAGAGCATGTAAACAAAATTCAAGACGCACAAAATATCCGAAGCAATCAATCTTACGTCAATAGAGTGAAAGCCAAAAGAACATTTATCTGCATGTTTAGGAATTTAGCAGAGAGCACAGGGTTACACTGAGAACAGAAAGTCATCAACGCAGCCCACCTAGGGACCGAAGAGCAAACAAATATTTCCCCAGAAGGGATTAGTGCTGCTCGAGGGCACAATTTGCACTAACCTTGGATGGAAGCAGCAGCCAGAAAGCCAATCGGTGTGGCCTTCACCTGTCATAATGATGTTCCCATTTGGGAAGGCCCACATCTTCCAGAGGTGGTCATCACTGGCAGTCACCACAATATCTTTCCGAGGATGCAAAGCCAAACTAGGGCAAAAAAGACAGACAAGAATTTGACTCCATTCCATCTTACATGAAACAAAAGCAATTTTTTTTTTTTAGCAATAGGAAGGTCTACGTTACTATGGTGTGGTAATATTTATGCTCCTGAGGTACAAATCCTTTACATGTTACAGGTCTGACCCTGCTTCTATTGAAGTAATGGAAAACTCCCATTTATTTCGGTGGAACCGGCAGCAAGGCACCTAAAGCAGATGCTTAAGCCGCTTTCCTGGACTGATCTCCTAAACGAGTGTAATTAATAATTTAAAAATATAAATCATGAACCAACGAAAAACCATGTGATTCACTCACAGTGCTCCAGAAATAAGAGCCTCATGAAATGTTAGCCTGTCGGGCCTTCTCAAGAGAGATGGGGAATAGGAAATCAGACCTCAGTACCAGTCTATTCTGCCCATGAGCTGAAAATCTCCTAAGCTCAAGGACATTAATGAACTATGATATATACCAGGGCTTCTCAACATGTGGCCTACGGCCCATTTGTTTGCAGCCCGCGGTGCGATTTGGGTTTACACGGGGCTCAACATGCGGCCCGCAGGTGGGATCCTTTGAACATGGCCTCCACTGGGAACACGCTCCACAAGGGCAAAGAGTCTCCCAGGCAGGGTGAGCATTGAAAGACGTAAGCAGATGGGCTGGCTGGAACAGACGGGGAAAGGGTGTCAGCGTTTCTAGCACCCAGGGAGGAAGAAGCTATTTGCATATATTTGCATGTATATGCAAACACACTTAAGTTGCGGCCCTTGGTATATACTGTGAATATCATTGTGGCCCCCAGGGCTTCCAAAGTTGAGTATCCCTGATTCACACTATAGTAGCTATGGTTTATTGTTAATACTTTAGCCGCTACTAGGCTAAGTTCAGTGAATCCATTTCAGTTCTACTCTCTGGCTGCGTGACAGGTTTTCCTTTTGGGTAGTGAAGTCATGGGAACATACTGGGATGCATCTATTATAACTCTTAACTGAAAATTCATACTAACACAGTCTGTTCTTGGTTTGGCCATTGTGTGTCTACGAAAGAAAAGGTGAACCTGTCACAATGAACATTACCAAACTTTTTTTAGATGGGCTTAATTAGTAACCAAATCAACACAGTGATGTATTATTTATTGTGGATCAACACTGTACGTGCTCTTATGTCCAAGGACTAAGCCGCGTGCAGCAAAAGGCCTAAACAGGCCAACGATACAGTTCAGAATTAAAATGCAAGGAAGAATGAGAAACTATTTTTTAGACAGATAAGATGATACCCCAACAAAGAGAGTTCCACTAACAGGGTATGTCTAGACTGCATTCATCTGTCAGCAGAAGGATGCAGATTAGGCAGGTAGACATTGCAAATGAGGCAGGGATTGAAATATCCTGTGCTTAATTTGCATAAAAATGGCCACCGTGGTTTGCTGACTCAGCACTGTCGGCAAAAAACAGCAGTCTAGAGCGGGATCTGTCGAGAAAGAAAGCCTTTTTCGACAGATCCTGTAAACCTCCTGCAAGAGGCATAAGGGATCTGTCGAAAAAGGCTTTCTTTCTTGACAGATCCACCTCAGACTGCCGCTTTTTGCAAACAAAGTGCTGAGTTGGCAAAATGTGATGGCCATTTTTATGCAAATTAGGCACGGGATATTTAAATCCCTGTCTCATTTGCAATGTCGACCTGTCTAATCTGCATCCCTCTGCCGACAGAGGGATGCAGTCTAGACATACCCATAAGTAGCACATGAATGTCACACCAGAAAAAATTCTTGCTGCAATAGCATCTTTCTTCTAGACATAAATAATGTATCCATAATTATTCCAGAGCTCCACAGATCAACATTCCCACCACTGATAGGACAAGGATCTAAGCCTTCTTCAAATCTATCCTAAAACCTCAGTTCTTTCTTCCCATCAAGAAATATTCACAGATGATCTCCTATCTGAAAGCAACACCTCCCAGAACAGCATTTTCAGTTTCCAGGCATTTAATAATTAGACACGCTTTTGGACAAGGGAGGCACTTCTCATTCTCCACTACCTCAAAAGGAGGAGATCTTGTCACTCTTGGACAAAGAGGAGGATTTACTGGGGGAGGAGATGAAGGAAATACTTTTATTCAGAAACTACAATGATGAATACAGAATAATTACACAAGTTAAACTGGTCACAATTTGGTCCATAGCTGAGGACGGAATAGAAGGAAACATCACAGGAAAAGAAAGATTCCCAGCCTATTACAAGGCAAAGGAGAGGCCTAATGGTCACGGGTCAAACTGACTTGACCCAGAATTCTCACTGACATAGGACGACTCTGAAACACAGGGACATCTGAGATAATGTGACTCTGAGGCCTTGCTAGGAAAGCAGTAGTATTGCCAAGGCAGAGGTGAGAAAAGCAGGTAGAAGATTCCGGGCTTCAAAGGTGGTTTCATCACACACAACAGGAGTCCAAGGAGGTCAAAGGAAGAAGGGCCCAGCAGGCCTACGGACAGTCTTCGCCTTACCCTCAGAAGCCACATTGGTGGTATAATGAAACAAAATACAGGACTATGTAGCACTTTAAAGACTAACAAGATGGTTTATTAGATGATGAGCTTTCGTGGGCCACCCACTTCCTCAGATCAAATAGTGGAAGAAAATAGACATAAACATATATACCAAAGGATACAATTTAAAAAAATGAACACACATGAAAAGGACAAATCAAATTTCAAAACAGAAGGTGGGTGCAGGGGAGGGGGGAAGGTAAATGTCTGTGAGCTAATGGTATTAGAGGTGATAATTGGGGAAGCTATCTTTGTGATGGGTAAGATAGCTAGAGTCTTTGTTGAGCCCCCCACGTAGAGTGTCGAATTTTAGCATGAATGACAGTTCAGAGGATTCCCTTTCAAGTGCAGATTTAAAAGGCTTCTGAAGCAGGATGCAGGTAATTAAGTCGTTGAGACAATGTCCTTTCTGGTTGAAATGGCAAGAAACTGTTTTTTCTTTGTGATCCTGTCTGATATCTGTTTTGTGGGCATTGATCCTTTGGCAAAGTGTCTGAGACGTTTGTCCAATGTACAAAGCAGACGGACACTTCCGGCACATGATAGCATAAATTATATGTCTGGATGGTGGTATAATGGTGAGCATAGCTGCCTTCCAAGCAACTGACCTGGGTTTAATTCCCAGCCAACGCGAAGTGGGAAGCAAGGACCTGATGTCCTCAGGAAGGCTTGTGGTCTAGGCCAGGGTGGGCAAAAGGGCCTCTGTGGGCCGGATCTGGCCCACCAAGTGGGTTGATCTGGCGGGTGGAGGCCCTGCTGCTCCTCTGCCCCCAGGCCAATTAGGGGAAGTGTAGTTTTCTAAGTACCCTGTGCTCCTCACAGGGCAGGATGGAGGAAACTTCATGCACTTCCCCCATCCTCAGGCCCTAAATGGCCTGGGGGTGGGGGAGGGTGCAAAGCCTCTTCCCGCCCTTGCATGGGTGCTTAGTGGGAAGTGGGGGGGGAGGAGAAAAGGGCTTCCCTACCCCCAGACCAATCATGATCTGTGGGTGGGAAAGCCCAGAAGCATCCCCCTAGTCTAGGCAGTGCTTGGTCCAACCATGAGGGCAGGGAACTGGACTCAATGACCTCTCATGGTCCCTTCCAGTTTCCTATGATTCTAAGACATCATGGCAGGCAACCTAGGTTAAATCGGAGTATCCCAGCTGACAAGCAAATATGTACAAAGCTATGGGCAGCATAGTAGACAGAAGCCGAGCCAGTGCATATCCGATAATGGAGCAGACCTAGAAATAGTTTTCACCAGGCACTGCCTCTGATGTAGCAGAGGTAGGAGAAAGGCTGCTGAGAGGAAGACACACAAGTAGATTCCCAGTAAAGCCTGTGGAACTGAGGTCTGCTCAAAGGCAGGGAGTTCCTGCAATGAAGCTGCTGTACAGTTATAGTCCACAAAGCATTTTTTTAGGCACCACTAGTGCCTGCCTACAGTGTGAAAACTGAAAGCCTGAGGTTTGCTGGTTGGTAAATCTCACTGTTGCGAACAGCTGGATTTCTCCACTGTTTAAACATTGCAGAAGTATCATTGGATACCTCTTGAAATCTCCATGTCAACCTAACCCCAAAACATCTTCTAACTGCCTCTCTCATCATAACGTTGGTCTATTCTGCCTTTCACAATACTTCCATAATTAGTTGACAGGGTGACTACAGTGATCAACAGATTATGGCCGCAACCCTCAACCATCCCTTTTAAAAGTCCTCCTAAATCCCAAGACCTGCTAAACCATCTCATGCACAGCTTCACTTCCCACATCAAATTCAAGATTGCTCTGGTGGTTGACTCTCGATTTAAATCCAAGGTGCTCATTTGCTCATTCTGCCACATCGGTTTGGAATATTTTCTCCCCTCCCTGCCAAGGTACCTCGGCATGTCTCTCTCTTCAAATCCATCCTTTGAACCTTCTTTTCCTCTTAGCATTTCTAAAGCATTTTGCGATGCTCTTTGTGAAGACTGCATTATAAAAGTAAAAGTGCATATTATAGATCAGAGGAAATAAGCCCTTGCAATTGGACGGGAACTCACCATAAATTTTATGGACTTTTCTTTTTAATTGCAAGCTCCTGCAAAATGATGCTGATATCCAAATGTATATTTTCCCCTCCTCCCAAAGGAATTGTATAGGCATAAAACTAACACCATTTAATTAACAGCAGGCTGGGTGACATAACCACCACTGAGTTGCTTCTCAAAGTGGGAAGCATATTAATCCAAAACATAAAAAATAAAGAAAGAATGCTGTACACCACACTAATTAGGTGCCCTTGTCTTCATTTTTGGCAACCTGGCACTGAATTCATTCTTGCTTCATCTTTGTTCACAGGGTCTAATTATTTCCAGCACAGAGGACTCAGGGTGGATTGGGGTGAAAAGAAATCAATAACAGGACATGTGTTATATAACATTAGCTTCCTTCTCCTCTGTGTGTGTGTGTGTGTGTGTGTG